TCCAAGAGAACCATGAGAGGGAAGGGGTTCTCCAAGAGCTAGGGAAGGATGGTAAGAACCTTCCTAGCAGCAAGGATGCCACCCTCATCATGAGGTCCTTGAGGTGTCACATGCAAAATCCAATCTAGTTGGATTTTGCCTAGGTGTTGCAACATTTGCAACCCATGCTAGAAACTTCTAGCCACCCCAATCCAAAAGTCAAAGTTGGCTTCCTAACCACCCAACCAAAGATCCCTTTATAGTCATGTCCCAAGTAATCACCCAAATTAGATATAACCCCAAAAGGTAATAAGAAATCCAAATCTTGGAAATCTTGTAACTTGGGCAATCTTGGTCGGAATAAGGCGATCTTGGTATCGTTGGAAAGCTCTGGATTTCTCCTGCATGATCAAGCATTTAAACTTGGAGAAAAATACAGAGATGATAATATCCAACAGCCATGCACAATGACATACGCTCATGCAAATCATGCAAGCACAAATAGCACGAGCACTCGGCAGGACGTTAGGATGACATGCACTCAGAATGACGTGCATCCAACAAACTCCCCCTCAGACTAATGGACTGCATGCACACACACTCCGACACATGCATAGTCTCATGCACACAATCACACATGCATTCCTGACACTGCTGCCCTCACTAGTGTAATGCCATGCCACACATCTTATCACACTTCCAATGTGCGCTCTCGGGAAGTCTCTTGGTGAGAAAATCCGCCGCCTGCTTGCTAGCCTTCACATGGTGAAGCTCAACAGCTCCCTCCTTCACCATCTGCCTCACCCAGTGCCACTTAATCTTCATGTGCTTGTTCAGCCCATTCAGGATAGGATTATTGGCCATGCCAATAGCAGCCTCGCTGTCGGAGAAAAGTGGTGTAGGTCCCTCCTGTTCAGCTCCCATGTCCTCCAACAGCTTCCTTAGGAGCACGATCTCCTTGATGGCATGGTACATCGCCATGTACTCTGCCTCTCCAGAAGACTGAGCAATCTCACTCTGCTTCTTGGACCTCCAGCTCACTGGTCCACCTCCGACCATGCACACAAAGCCGCCAACAGATGACTGATCCTCATCCTCTGAGGCCCATGTGGCGTCGGTGAAGCACGACAGCTTCAAGGTACCAGGCGTGACCCCATCTGCTCCAATCTGTTTCAGCTAGCCACCAGCTGAAAACTGAACACCAGCAGATGCCGTTGATCCCAGGTAGCGCACCAAGCGCTTTGCCACCTCCAACTGCTCCTCAGTAGGCCGCTGCACAACTCTGGCCAGCTGCCCCACTCCGAATGAAGCATCAGGTCGCGTATGCACAGCTGCATACATCACACTCCCAATGAATGACTGGTACTCATTTTGCTGCTCATCCTCAAGCACATCATCCTCCTCTGCTGCCTTCTTCAGTTTGAAGCCTGCAGGGAACGGTGTCATCACAGTGCGACCCCCAGTCACACCATACCGCTCCATGACACCAGAGATGTAGTGTGACTGATGCACCTTCAGCCACCTCCTCTCAACATCCCTCTCAATCTGCAGCCCCAAGTAGTAGTGGACATCCCCCAGCATCTTGCACTTGAAGTTGTCCATCAGCAGCTTCTGTGTCCTCTCAATCTGCTCCATGGAGGGTGAGAACAGCAGTATGTCATCGACATACACCAGCAGCAAAAGCAACTGCTCCCCCTCACCAAGCAGAAACAAGCTGTGATATGCCTGGGACGTCTTGAAGCCTCCACCCAGCAGCACCTCCTCCAACTTCTCGTACCAACACCCGGGCGCTTGCTTAAGGCCATAGATGGCCTTCTTAAGCTTGCACACCCGGCTGGTCCCATCCTGATAGCCGTCGGGCTGCACCATGTAGATATCCTCCAGCAGTATTCCATTGAGGAATGCAGTGGTGATATCCATCTGCTTCACGTGCCATCCCTTCACAGCTGCGCCAGCCATCAAAGTCCTCAGTGTCAATGGCTTAGCAACGGGAGCAAAGATCTCCCCAAAGTCGACCTTCTCCTTCTGCTGAAACCCCTTGGCGACCAAACGGCTCTTGAACCGCTCCAACGCACCATCAGCACCACTCTTCACTTTGAAGACCCACTTGCTGCTGATCGGCCGTCGCCCCTCGGGTAACTCAACAAGCTCCCAAGTCCCATTCTCAATGAGATTGTTGAACTCTGCATCCATGGCAGCCCTCCACTCCTCCTTTTGGGGTCCACTGAGTGCCTCCTCCACTGTGGCTGGTTCTCCAGGCAAGGGTGTGAAGAAACAGAACGCCATCTCCTCATCCTCTCCCTCATCTGTCTGAACCGCCATGGCACCTTGCTTGGGTCCTCCCAAACGGCTATACTTCAGCCTTGAGGGTGCTGCTGCCACTCTCTTCTCACGGGTTGCAATCTGCTGCCCATGTGGTGAAGCTCCTTTCTGCACACTCCTCTTGGTGACCTTGGCGTTTGCACCAGGCTCGGGCTGAGAAGGTGAGTCCACACGTGCCGACTCATCCTCCAACCCCTCCTCCGCAGCAGGACCAGCGCCTTGCTGCTCACCACCGCCACTGTGATCACTGGTCAGCTCTGACCCAGGGAGATCCTCAAGGTGCAGCTGAACCTCCTCCACTGCAGACCGCTCAATCTCCTGCAGACGCAAGCCAATCTGCACCTGCTGCTGCTGCTGCCAGTCCTTGTACATGACGTCCTCCACAAACTTGACGTCACGGCTGACCAGCGACTTCTTGCTCTTGGGGTCCCACATCAGCCACCCCTTCGAGTCTGGAGCCATCCCAAGATGGACAGCCCACACAGTAGCCACTTCCAGCTTGTGCCTCTGCTCCTTAGGCACCATCACAAGCCCCATGCAGCCCCACACCCGCAGCATGTCAATAGATGGCTTCTTCCCAAGCCAACGCTCGTACGGCACCCAATGCTTGTCGCCAACATGAGTCAAGACCCTGTTCTTGACCGTGATGACATGGCGAACGGCATCAGGCCAGAACTTGTAGGGCATCCCAGCAGCCCCCAACAAGGTCTTAGCCGCCTCGCCAATGGTCCGGTTGGCACGCTCAGCAATGCCGTTCTGCTGCGGTGTTCCAGGGCAGGTCAGCTGATGTCGGATGCCATTTCTCTTGAGGAACTTGGTGAATTCCGCTCCAAGGAACTCTCCACCTCGGTCGCTCCTCAGCACCTTCACCAGCCGCATCGCTTGCCGCTCCACCATCGGCAACCAATCCTCCTTGATTGCCGCTGCAGCATCGCTCTTCTTGGACAAGGGACACGTCCACGTGAAACGGCTCCATTCGTCCACCATGGTGAGGAAGTAGAGCACTCCCCCAGTCCCCTCAGTCCTCATAGGACCCACCAGGTCCATCTGCACCACCTCCAATGGTGCCTTCGCTGATCCCTCCGCTCGTGGGAACGGGAACCGCGCAAACTTGTTTTGCATGCACGCCTCGCAGCTGCCATAGTGAATGCCATCTCCTTGCAGTTGAAGCCCATGCACGCACTTCTCCTTGTGCATCACCTCCAATGTAGAAACAGCTACGTGTGCGAGCCGCTGATGCCAAGTCTCCCAATCCGCTTGGCCCGAGGTAGCCGACGCCTTCACCGCCGCGCTTCCTCCAATCAGCTCCTCTCCTTGCACACCTTGCTGCTCCTCCTCGGTAACGCTCTCCTCCATAGATGCCGCCATTGCCGCCTTGCCCGATTTCCGCCAAGGGAGGACCGGGATCTGCCACATCCGCTTGTGGACATCCCCTTTCCACTGCAGGTCCCAAATCAGCCGCTCATCGTTGTAGGCACGATAGCGCTCCGAGCCAATCGTCTCGGTGTTCACACCCGCATCTCCCAACCGGCCGGTAGAAATCAGGTTCGCGCACAAGTCCGGCACCCACAGCACGTTCTTCAGCCCCACGAGCTCTCCATCCGCTCCCATGAACTTGGCGCATCCCATGCCCATGACATTGGCCTTGGCGCCCGTCGCGGATGTGACTGTAGAGATGGGTGCGGGCTGAATCTCATCAAGTAGGTCCGCACGGGGAGTCATGTGCCAAGAGCTCCCGGAGTCAATCACCCAATGGGTGAGGGGGTGTAGGAGAACCTTGGCAGCCATAGCGTGGTCGGTTGCGCCTTCGTTCACGAAGAAGAAGAACCCGGCCTTCCGCTCCTCAGATTTGCCGCCTTTCTCCTCATCCTTCTCCTCTCCACTAGCTCCCATGACTCCCCCACTCCTCGTGCCACCACGCTGGTTGCTTGATGAAGGCGGGGTCCAATCCTTGGGTCGTTGGTAGCACTTCCGCCAACGATGTCCGCGCTTCTTGCAGTAGAAGCACACCTCCCCTTGACCCCCGCCGCCATCCTCCTTAGGGTTATCCTTATTCTTGCCCTTCCACTTCTTCTTGAAGCCACTCTTTCCACCTCCAACTTCATAGCCAGCCCCCTCCTCCGAACGCTCCACACTCCACCGCCGCAAGTCCTCCTCTAGGATGCGCGCGCGAATGTAATCCACGCTCCATTGGGGTTGTTGGGAGTTGAGGTTGATCGCAAGGGCAGACCATGACTCCGGCAGCCGTATCACGATCTCCACGCATTGCACGAGCTCCGGGTACACCATACCGCCTCCTTGGAGCTTCGTGAAGATGTCGCGCATCTCATCCAACACCGGTTGCATCGGCTCTCCATCAACGAACTTGATGTCGCGCAGCCGCCGCGCGAGTAGCACGATGCCGGTAGCATGTGTCGGTGAGTGCACATCCAGAAGCTTCCTCCAAGCCTTGGGACCACACTCTGGATCACCCAAGAGGTCCTTGATGTGGTCAAGTTGCCGTCCACCCACCGCTTGCACCATGAGCATATACGCGTCGAACGATCGCTTCATCCACGCTCCTTTCAGCTCCGCGGCCTCCGGCATCTTCTCCTTCCCCTCCACCAAATCCAATAGCTTGTATTGGGTATACATCAGCCTCATGCGGAAACTCCAGTGCTCGTAGTCCTCCCCCATGAATTTCTCAATAGAGAAAGCTTTCACAGGATCCACGGTATTAGGAGATGGTGTAGAAGAAGTAGGTAGCGTAGGGTTGGCTGGTTGGTGAGTCCCCACTCCTCCACCAGCAACTCCCCCCAGTTCTCCAGCCTCTCTATTTCTATCCATCTCGCCACTAGCACCTCCGGAGTTCGTACCAACCATATTGAGGCCTTATGAACGTTGGAAACTTGAGAAATCGTTTGGAGAGAATTCTGCCAGGGGCGGGGTGATGGAAAGTGGGAAAATGTGGCGGGGTGATGGAAAACGGGAGAATGGGGTGGGGTTATGGGAAGCGGGAGAATGGGGCGGGGTGATGGAAAGCGGGAGAATGGGGCAGGGTGATGGAATGAGGGAGAATGGGGCGGTGTGATGGAAGGAGGGAGAATGGGGCGGGGTGATGGAAAGCGGGAGAATGGGGCGGGGTGATGGAAGGAGGGAAAATGGGGCGGGGTGATGGAAAGCGGGAGAATGGGTCGGGGTGATGGAAAGCGGGAGAATGGGGCGCAGTGATGGAAAGCGAGAGAATGGAGCGGGGTGATGGAAGGAGGGAGAATGGGGAGGGGTGATGGAAAGCGGGGGAATGGGGCGGGATGATGGGAAGCGGAAGAATGGGGCGGGGTGATGGAAAGCGGGAGAATGGGGCAGGGTGATGGAAAGCGGGAGAATGGGGCAGGGAGATGGAAAGCGGGAGAAAGGGGAGGGGTGATGGAAAGCGGGGGAATGGGGCGGGATGATGGGAAGCGGAAGAATGGGGCGGGGTGATGGAAAGCGGGAGAATGGGGCGGGGTGATGGAAAGCGGGAGAATGGGGCAGGGAGATGGAAAGCGGGAGAAAGGGGAGGGGTGATGGAAAGCGGGAGAATGGGGCGGGCTGATGGAAAGCGGGAGAATGGGGCAGGGTGATGGAAGGAGGGAGAATGGGGCGGGGTGATGGAAGGAGAGAGAAGGGGGCGGGCTGATGGAAAGTGGGAGAATGTGGCGGGGTGATGGAAAGCGGGAGAATGGGGTGGGGTTATGGGAAGCGGGAGAATGAGGCGGGGTGATGGAAAGCGGGAGAATGGGGCGGGGTGATTGAAGGAGGGAGAATGGGGCGGGGTGATGGAAGAAGGGATAATGGGGCGGAGTGATGGAAAGCGGGAGAATGGGGCGGGGTGATGGACAGCGGGAGAATGGGGCGGGGTGATGGAAAGCGAGAGAATGGGGCGGGGTGATGGAAGGAGGGAGAACGGGGAGTTGTGATGGAAAGCGGGGGAATGGGGCGGGATGATGGGAAGCGGAAGAATAGGGCGGGGTGATGGAAGGAGGGAGAATGGGGCGGGATGATGGAAAGCGGGAGAATGGGGCGGGGTGATGGAAAGCGGGAGAATGGGGCGGGGTGATGGAAAGCGAGAGAATGGGGCGGGGTGATGGAAATCGGGAGAATGGGGCGGGGTGATTGAAAGCGGGAGAATGGGGCGGGGTGATGGAAGGAGGGAGAATGGGGCGGGGTGATAGAAAGCGGGAGAATTTGGCGGGGTGATGGAAAGCGGGAGAATGGGGTGGGGTTATGGGAAGGGGGAAAATGGGGCGGGGTGATGGAAAGCGGGAGAATGGGGCGGGGTGATGGAAGGAGGGAGAATGGGTCGGGGTGATGGAAAGCGGGAGAATGGGGCGGGGTGATGGAAGGAGGGAGAATGGGTCGGGGTGATGGAAGGAGGGAGAATGGGGTGGGGTGATGGAAAGCGGGAGAATGGGGCGGGTTGATGGAAAGCGGGAGAATGGGGCTGGGTGATGGAAAGCGGGAGAATGGGGCGGGGTGATGGAAAGCGGGAGAATGGGGCGGGGTGATGGAAGGAGGGAGAATGGGGCGGGGTGATGGAAAGCGGGAGATTGGGGCAGGGTGATGGAAAGCGGGAGAATGGGGCGGGGTGATGGAAAGCGGGAAAATGGGGTGGGGTGATGGAAAGCGGGAGAATGGGGCTGGGTGATGAAAAGCGGGAGAATGGGGCAGGGTGATGGAAAGCGGGAGAATGGGGCGGGGTGATGGAAGGAGGAAGAATGAGGCGGGGTGATGGAAGGAGGGAGAAAGGGGCGGGGTGATGGAAAGTGGGAGAATGGGTCGGGGTGATGGAAAGCGGGAGAATGGGGCGGAGTGATGGAAAGCGGGAGAATGGGGCGGGGTGATGGAAAGCGGGAGAATGGGGCAGGGTGATGGAAGGCGGGAGAATGGAGCGGGGTGATGGAAAGCGGGAGAATGGGGCTGGGTGATGAGAAGCGGGAGAATGGGGCAGGGTGATGGAAAGCGGGAGAATGGGGCGGGGTGATGGAAGGAGGGAGAATGAGGCGGGGTGATGGAAGGAGGGAGAAAGGGGCGGGGTGATGGAAAGTGGGAGAATGGGTCGGGGTGATGGAAAGCGGGAGAATGGGGCGGAGTGATGGAAAGCGGGAGAATGGGGCGGGGTGATGGAAAGCGGGAGAATGGGGCGGGGTGATGGAAGGCGGGAGAATGGAGCGGGGTGATGGAAAGCGGGAGAATGGGGCGGGGTGATGGAAAGCGGGAGAATGGGGCGGGTGATGGAAAGGGGGTGAATGGGGCAGGGTGATGGAAAGCGGGAGAATGGGGCGGGGTGATGGAAAGCAAAAGAATGGGGTGGGGTGATGGAAAGCGGGAGAATGGGGCGAGGTGATAGAAAGCGGGAGAATGGGGCGGGTGATGGAAAGCGGAAGAATGGGGCGGGGTGATGGAAGGAGGGAGAATGGGGAGGGGTGATGGAAAGCGGAAGAATAGGGCGGGGTGATGGAAGGAGGGAGAATGGGGCGGGATGATGGAAAGCGGGAGAATGGGGCAGGGTGATGGAAAGCGGGAGAATGGGGCGGGGTGATGGAAAGCGAGAGAATGGGGCGGGGTGATGGAAATCGGGAGAATGGGGCGGGGTGATTGAAAGCGGGAGAATGGGGCGGGGTGATGGAAGGAGGGAGAATGGGGCGGGGTGATAGAAAGCGGGAGAATTTGACGGGGTGATGGAAAGCGGGAGAATGGGGTGGGGTTATGGGAAGCGGAAAAAATGGGGCGGGGTGATGGAAAGCGGGAGAATGGGGCGGGGTGATGGAAGGAGGGAGAATGGGGCGGGGTGATGGAAGGAGGGAGAATGGGGCGGGGTGATGGAAGGAGGGAGAATGGGGCGGGGTGATGGAAAGCGAGAGAATGGGGCGGGGTGATGGAAGGAGGGAGAATGGGGCGGGGTGATGGAAGGAGGGAGAATGGGGTGGGGTGATGGAAAGCGGGAGAATGGGGCGGGGTGATGGAAAGCGGGAGAATGGGGCGGGGTGATGGAAAGCTTGAGAATGGGGCGGGGTGATGGAAAGCGCGAGAATGGGGCGGGGTGATGGAAAGCGGGAGAATGGGGCGGGGTGATGGAAAGCGGGAGAATGGGGCAGGGTGATGGAAAGCGGGAGAATGGGGCAGGGTGGTGGAAAGCGGGAGAATGGGGCGGGGTGACGGAAAGCGGGAGAATGGGGCGGGGTGATGGAACGCGGGAGAAAGGGGTGGGGTGATGGAAAGCGGGAGAGTGGGGCGGGGTGATGGAAAGAGGGAGAATAGGGTGGGGTGATGGAAAGAGGGAGAATGGGGCGGGGTGATGGAAAGAGGGAGAATGGGGCGGGGTGATGGAAAGCGGGAGAATGGGGCGGGGTGATGGTAAGCGGGAGAATGGGGAGTTGATGCTCTTATAGGGGAGTTGACGCTCGTATAGCAGAGTTGACGCTCTTATAGGGGAGTTGACGCTCTTATAGGGGAGTTGACGCTTTTATATGAGAGTTGACGCTTTTATGGGGGATTTGACGCTCTTATAGGGGAGTAGACGCTCTTTTAGGAGAGTTGACCTTTTATAGGGGAGTTGACGCTTTTATAGGGGAGTTGACGCTCTTATGTTGACGCTCTTGTAGGGGCGTTGACGCTCTTATAGGGGAGTTGACACTCTTATAGGGGAGTTGACGCTCTTATAGGAGAGTTGATGCTTTTATATGAGAGTTGACGCTTTTATGGGGGAGTTGACGCTTTTATAGGAGAGTTGACGCACTTATAGGAGAGCTGACGCTTTTATAGGGGAGTTGACGCTTTTATAGGGAAGTTGACGCTCTTAGAGGGGAGTTGACGCTCTTATAGGGGAGTTGACGCCCTTATATGAGAGTTGACGCTTTTATAGGGGAGTTGATGCTTTTATAGGGGAGTTGACGCTCTTGTAGGGGTGTTGACGTTCTTATAGGGGAGTTGACGCTCTTATAGGGGAGTTGACACTCTTATATGAGAGTTGTTGTTTCTATAGGGGAGTTGACGCTTTTATATGAGAGTTGACGCTTTTATGGGGGAGGTGATGCTTTTATAGGAGAGTTGACGCACTTATAGGAGAGCTGACGCTTTTATAGGGGAGTTGACGCATTTATAGGGAAGTTGACACTCTTATAGGAGAGCTGACGCGCTTATAGGGAAGTTGACGCTCTTAGGGTGTTGACGCTTTTATATTACAGTTGACGCTTTTGTATGCGAGAGTTGATGCTCTTATATGCGAGTTGACGCTTTTAAATGAGAGTTGACACTTTTATGGGGGAGTTGACGCTTTTATATTACAGTTGACGCTTTTGTAGGGGAGTTGACACTCTTATAGGGGAGTCGACGCTCTCATAGGAGAGTTGACGCTCTTATATGAGAGTTGACACTTTTATAGAGGCGTTGACGCTTTTATAAGGGAGTTGACGCTCTTATAGGGGAGTTGACGCTCTTATTGGGGAGTTGACACTCTTATAGGGGAGTTGATGCTCTTATAGGGGAGTTGACGAACTTATAGGGGAGTTGACGCTCTTATAGGGGAGTTGACACTCTTTTAGGGAAGTTGGCGCTCTTATAGGGGAGTTGACACTTTTATATGAGAGTTGACACTTTTATGAGGGAGTTGACGCTCTTATAGGAGAGTTGACGCTCTCATCTATGAGTTGACGCTTTTAAAGAGGAGTTGATGTGTTTTTAGGGGAGTTGACACTCATATAGGGAAGTTGACGTTTTTATATGAGAGATGACGCTCTCATTGGAGAGCTGGCGCTTTTATGGGGGAGTTGACGCTTTTATAGGGAAGTTGACGCTGTTATAGGGGAGTTGACGCTCTTATAGGGGAGTTGATGCTTTTATAGGGGAGTTGACCCTTTTATAGGGAAGTTGACGCTCATATAGGGGAGTTGACGCTCTTATAGGGAAGTTGACGCTTTTATAGGGGAGTTGACGCTCTTATAGGGGAGTTGATGCTCTTATATGAGAGTTGACGCTTTTAAATGAGAGTTGACACTTTTATGGGGGAGTTGACGCTTATATATGAGAGTTGACGCTTTTGTAGAGGAGTTGACGCTCTTATAGGGGAGTTCACGCTCTTATAGGGGGGTTGACACTCTTATAGGGGAGTTGACGCTCTTATAGGGGAGTTGACGCTCGTATAGCAGAGTTGACGCTCTTATAGGGGAGTTGACGCTCTTATAGGGGAGTTGACACTCTTATAGGGGAGTTGACGCTCTTATAGGAGAGTTGATGCTTTTATATGAGAGTTGACGCTTTTATGGGGGAGTTGACGCTTTTATAGGAGAGTTGACGCACTTATAGGAGAGCTGACGCTTTTATAGGGGAGTTGACACATTTATAGGGAAGTTGACACTCTTATAGGAGAGTTGACGCTCTTATAGGGAAGTTGACGCTCTTAGGGTGTTGACGCTCTTTTACGAGAGTTGATGCTCTTATATGCGAGTTGACGCTTTTAAATGAGAGTTGACACTTTTATGGGGGAGTTGACGCTTTTATATTACAGTTGACGCTTTTGTAGGGGAGTTGACGCTCTTATAGGGGAGTCGACGCTTTCATATGAGAGTTGACGCTCTTATATGAGAGTTGACTCTTTTATAGAGGCGTTGACGCTTTTATAAGGGAGTTGACGCTCTTATAGGGGAGTTGACGCTCTTATTGGGGAGTTGACACTCTTATAGGGGAGTTGATGCTCTTATAGGGGAGTTGACGAACTTATAGGGGAGTTGACGCTCTTATAGGGGAGTTGACACTCTTTTAGGGAAGTTGACACTCTTATAGGGGAGTTGATGCTCTTATAGGGGAGTTGACGTTCTTATAGGGGAATTGACGCTCTTATAGGGGAGTTGACACTCTTATATGAGAGTTGTTGCATTTATGGGGGAGTTGACGCTCTTATAGGAGAGCTGACGCTCTTATAGGAGAGTTGTTGTTTTTATAGGGGAGTTGACGCTCTTATAGGGAAAATGGCGCTCTTATAGGGAAGTTGACACTCTTATAGGGGAGTTGACGCTCTGATAGGGGGGTTGACGCTCTTATATGAGAGTTGACGCTTTTATAGGGGAGTTGACGCTTTTATAGGAGAGCTGACGCTCTTATAGGGGAGTTGACGCTTTTATATGAGAGCTGGCGCTTTTATGGGGAAGTTGACGCTCTTATAGGAGAGTTGACGCTCTTATAGGAGAGCTGACGCTTTTATAGGGGAGTTGACGATTTGATAGGGGAGTTGACGCTCACATAGGGGAGTTGACGCTCTTATAGGGAATTTGACGCTCTTATAGGGGAGTTGACGCTCTTATAGGGGAGTTGATGCTCTTATATGAGAGTTGACGCTTTTACATGAAAGTTGACGCTTTCATAGGAGAGTTGACGCTCTTATAGGGGAGTTGACGCTCTTATATATGAGTTGACGATTTTGTGGGGGAGTTGACGCTCTCACAGGAGAGCTGGCGCTTTTATGGGGGAGTTGACGCTTGCATAGGGAAGTTGACGCTCTTATAGGGGAGTTGACACTCTTATAGGAGAGTTGACGCTCTTATATGAGAGTTGACGCTTTTATAGGGGAGTTGGCGCTTTTTTAGGGGAGTTGACGCTCTTATAGGGGAGTTGATGCTTTTATAGGGGAGTTGACGCTTTTATAGAAGAGTTGATGCTCTTATAGGGGAGTTGACGCTCTTATAGGGAAGTTGACGCTTTTATAGGGGAGTTGACGCTCTTATAGGGGAGTTGATGCTCTTATATGAGAGTTGACGCTTTTAAATGAGAGTTGACACTTTTATGGGGGAGTTGACACTCTTATATGAGAGTTGACGCTTTTATATGGGAGTTGACGCTCTTATAGGAGAGTTGACGCTCTTGTAAGGGAGTTGACGCTCTTATAGGGGAGTTGACGCTCTTATAGGAGAGTTGACGCTTTTATAGGGGAGTTGACGCTCTTATAGGAAAGTTGACGCTCTTATAGGGGAGTTGACGCTCTTATAGGGGAGTTGACATCTTATAGGGGAGTTGACGCTCTTTTAGGAGAGTTGATGCTATAATATGAGAGTTGACGCTTTTATGGGGGAGTTGACGCTCATATAGGAGAGTTGACGCACTTATAGGAGAGCAGACGCATTTATAGGGAGTTGACGCTTTTATAGGGAAGTTGACGCTCTTATAGGGGAGTTGACGCTCTTATAGGAAAGTTGACGCTCTTATAGAGTTGATGCTCTTTTAGGGGAGTTGATTCTCTTATATGCGAGTTGACGCTTTTAAATGAGAGTTGACACTTTTATGGGGGAGTTGATGCTTTTATATCAGAGTTGACGCTTTTGTTGGGGAGTTGACGCTCTTATAGGGGAGTTGACGCTCTTATGGGAGAGTTGACGCTCTTATATGAGAGTTGATGCTTTTATAGAGGAGTTGACGCTTTTATAAGGGAGTTGACCCTCTTATAGGGGAGTGGACGGTCTTATTGGGGAGTTGACACTCTTATAGGGGAGTTGACGCTCTTATAGGGGAGTTGACGCTCTTATAGGGGAGTTGACGCTCTTATAGGGAAGTTGGCGCTCTTATAGGGGGAGTTGACGCTTTTATGTGAGAGTTGACGCTTTTATGGGGGAGTTGACTCTCTTATAGGAGAGTTGACGCTCTTATAGGAGAGCTGACACTTTTATAGGGGAGTTGACGCTTTTATAGGGGAGTTGATGTCAGAATATTATTATGTTCTAGCCTGTAGTGGGGTGCTCTATAGCGAGTACAACCCTTCTAGGGTTTGCTATTTGTATCCCCATTTCTGCTAGTTCATTCCTCTTTTCTTCTTCTAATTTTGTCATGCTATCAGAGCAGGTCGATCCCCTTGGATCGATCCTGTGGGTGGGTTTCCACCTCGCTTCCGCTGCTACCTTTCCTTCCCGCCGTGCGCCCCGAGGCGCGCGGCGGTTTTCCTTCCCGCCGTGCGCCCCGAGGCGCGCGGCGGTTTTCTGCCCGCCGTGCGCCCCGGGGCGCGCGGCGGTTCTTTGCCCGCTGTGCGCCCCGAGGCGCGCGGCGGGCGTCTGCCCTACGTCGCGGCCCCGCCCCGACCGTCGCGGCCCCGCCCTACAGTCGCGGCCCCGCCCTACGTCGCGGCCCCGCCCCGACCGTCACGGCCCCGCCCTACGTCGCGGCCCCGCCCGACCATTGCGGCCCTGCCCTACGTCGCGGCCCCGCCCCGACCGTCGCGGCCCCGCCCTACGTCGCGGCCCCGCCCTGTGTCGCGGCCCCGCCCCTCGAAGCGGCCCTGCCCGACCGTCGCGGCCCCGCCCCTCGTCGCGGCCCCGCCCCTTGTCGCGGCCCCGCCCTCCAACCAGGCCCGTGGTGGGCCCCTTTCACCACACCGCCTCCCCCCCCCCCCCCCCCCCCCCCCCCCCCCCCCCTCCCCCTGCCATTTCCCGTCGTCCGTCGAGGCGACCTGAGGGGGCCGCTTGCTGTGGGGTGGCGGGTATGGGGGTGGCCGGTGTGCCTTCCTCCCTTGCTCCTCCTCCTCCTTCGTCTCCCACTGCTGCAGCTGTCGCTGAGGGGGGTGGTTGTGTGGGAGACTGGGGTTTAGGGTTTAAGGGGGGTGCGTGGGAGTAGAGCTAGCGGTGTAGCAGTGGGTGTGTATCAGGGGGGTGGGACTGTTTGCGGGAGGTTGAGCGGAGGCTGCCGGCTTGTCGTCCGCAGCACCTGTAGTCCGGGGCGCTGTCCCGGTAGCCCAGTCGTAGCCAGCTGTGCCAGCCGCCCGTGGGTCCGTTGCCCGTCCGCCGCTATTTGAGCCGCGGGGCCTGTTACTCCTGTAGTCCGGGCGCTGTCCGGTAGCCGCTGTGCCAGTCTGCCTCCTGTTGCCCGTGTGTCTGCAGCTTCAGCCGTCGCCTCCTGTCTCCTCTCCCCTCACTCTCTCTCCTCCTCCTCACTTGCCCGTTGTGACTACCACTAGCTTTGCTTATAATTGTGAACTCTAAACTATTTCTTCTTGAACTTGTGCTCAGAATGTGTGGTGACATTGTGATCCACCCTGAGCTTGTTTTGCTTTGCCTGCTCTGCTGATTACACCCCACTTTGGCTATGGGGGTGTGTCAGAATATTATTCTTATGTTCTAGCCTGTAGTGGGGTGCTCTATAGCGAGTACAACCCTTCTAGGGTTTGCTATTTGTATCCCCATTTCTGCTAGTTCATTCCTCTTTTCTTCTTCTAATTTTGTCAGTTGACTCTCTTATAGGGGAGTTGACGCTCTTATAGGGAAGTTTACGCTCTAATAGGGGAGTTGACGCTCTTATAGAAGAGTTGACGCTCTTATATGATAGTTGACACTTTTAAATGAGAGTTGACACTTTTATATGAGAGTTAAAGATGTAAAGGGAGAGTTGACGCTCTTATAGGAGAGTTGACGCTCTTATAAAAGAGCTGACGCTCTTGTAGGGGAGTTGACGCTCTTACAGGGGAGTTGACGCTCTTCTAGGGGAGTTGACACCCTTATAGGGGAGTTGACGCTCTTATAGGGGAGTTGACACTCTTATGGGGGAGTTGATGCTCTTATGGAGGAGTTGACGCTCTTATAGGAGAGCTGACGCTCTTATACGAGAGTTGACGGTTTATGGGGGAGTTGACGCTCTTATAGGAGAGCTGACACTTTTATAGGGGAGTTGACGATTTTATAAGCGACTTAACGCTCATATAGGGGAGGTGACGCTCTTATAGGGAAGATGACGCTCTTATAGGGGAGTTGACGCTCTTATAGGGGAGTTGACGCTCTTATATGAGAGTTGACGCTTTTATTGGGGAGTTGACGCTTTTATAGGGGAGTTGACACTCGTTTTGGGGAGTTGACGCTTTTATAGGGGAGTTGACGCTCTTATAGGGGAGTTGACGCTCTTATAGGGGAGTTGACGCTCTTATAAGGAAGTTGATGCTCTTGAAGAAGATTTGACGCCCTTATAGGGGAGTTGACGCTCGTATATGAGAGTTGACACTTTTAAAGAGGAGTTGATGTGTTTATAGGGGAGTTGACGCTCATATAGGGGAGTTGACGCTTTTATATGAGAGTTGCCCCTTAAATGGGGGAGTTGACGCTCTTATAGGAGAGCTGGCGCTTTTATAGGGGAGTTGATGCTCTTATAGGGAAGTTGACGCTCTTATAGGGGAGTTGACGCTCTTATATGAGAGTTGACGCTTTCCATTACCCCGCCCCATTCTCCCGCTTTCCATCACCCCGCCCCATTCTCCCGCTTTCCATCACCCCGCCCCATTCTTCGCTTTCCATCACCCCGCCCCATTCTCCCGCTTTCCATCACCCCCCCCCATTCTCCCGCTTTCCATCACCCCGCCCCATTCTTCGCTTTCCATCACCCTGCCCCATTCTCCAGCTTTCCATCACCCCGCCCCATTCTCCCGCTTTCCATCACCCCGCCCCATTCTCCCTCTTTTCATCACCCCGCCCCATTCTCCCTCTTTCCATCACCCCGCCCCATTCTCCCTCTTTCCATCACCCCACCCCATTCTCCCTATTTCCATCACCCCGCCCCATTCTTCCGCTTTCCATCAACCCGCCCCATTCTCCAGCATTCCATCACCCCGCCCCATTCTCCCGCTTTCCATCACCCCGCCCCATTCTCCCGCTTTCCATCACCCCGCCCCATTCTCCCGCTTTCCATCACCCCGCCCCATTCTTCCGCTTTCCATCACCCCGCCCCATTCACCCTCTTTGCGTCACCCCGCCCCATTCTCCCGCTTTCCATCACCCCGCCCCATTCTCCCGCTTTCCATCACCCCGCCCCATTCTCCCACTTTCCATCACCCCGCCCCATTCTCCTGCTTTCCATCACCCCGCCCTATTCTCCCTCTTTCCATCACCCCGCCCCATTCTCCCGCTTTCCGTCACCCAGCCCCATTATCCCGCTTTCCATCACCCGCCCCATTTTCCCGCTTTCCATCACCCCGCCCCATTCTCCCGCTTTCCATCACCCCGCCCCATTCTCAAGCTTTCCATCACCTCGCCCCATGCTCCCGCTTTCCATCACCCCGCCCCATTCTCCCGCTTTCCGTCACCCCGCCCCATTCTTCCGCTTTCCATTACCCGGCCCCATTCTCCCGCTTTCCATCACTCCGCCCCATTCTCCCGCTTTCCATCACTTCGCCCCATTCTCCCGCTTTCCATCACCCCGCCCCTTTCTTCCTCTTTCCATCACCCCGCCCCATTCTCCCGCTTTCCATCTCCCCGCCCCATTCTCCCGCTTTCCATCACCCCGCCCCATTCTCCCGCTTTCCATCACCCCGCCCCATTCTCCCGCTTTCCATCACCCCGCCCCATTCTCCCTCTTTTAATCACTCGCCCCTTTCTCCCTCTTTCCATTACCCCACCCCATTCTCCCTCTTTCCATCACCCCGCCCCATTCTCCCGCTTTCCATCATCCCGCCCCATTCTCCCGCTTTCCATCACCCCGCCCCATTCTCCCGCTTTCCATCACCCCGCCCCATTCTCCCGCTTTCCATCACCCTGCCCCATTCTCCCGCTTTCCATCACCCCGCCCCATTCTCCCGCTTTCCATCACCCCGCCCCATTCTCCTGCTTTCCATCACTCTGCCCCATTCTCCCGCTTTCCATCACCCCACCCCATTCTCCCGCTTTCCATCACCCTGCCCCATTCTCCCGCTTTCCATCACCCCGACCCATTCTCCCTCTTTTCATCACCCCGCCCCATTCTCCCTCTTTCCATCACCCCGCCCTATTCTCCCTCTTTCCATCACCCCACCCCATTCTCCCGCTTTCCAACACCCCGCCCCATTCTCCCGCTCCATCACCCCGCCCCATTCTCCCGCTTTCCATCACCCCGCCCCATTCTCCCGCTTTCCATCACCCGGCCCCATTCTCCCGCTTTCCATCACCCCGCCCCATTCTTCCGATTTCCATCACCCCGCCCCATTAACCCTCTTTCCATCAACCCGCCCCATTCTCCCTCTTTCCATCACCGTGCCCCATTCTTCTGCTTTTCATCACCCCGCCCCATTCTCCCTCTTTCCATCACCCCGCCCCATTCTTCCGCTTTTCATCACCCCGCCCCATTCTCCCTCTTTCCATCACCCTGCCCCATTCCCCCTCTTTCCATCAGCCCGCCCCATTCTCCCGCTTTCCACCACCCTGCCCCATTCTCCCGCTTTCCATCACCCTGCCCCATTCTCCCGCTTTCCATCACCCCGCCCCATTCTCCCGCTTTCCATCACCCCGCCATATTCTTCCTCTTTCCATCACCCCGCCCCATTCTCCCGCTTTCCATCACGCCGCCCCATTTTCATGCTTTCCATCACCCCGCCCCATTCTCCCGCTTTCCATCACCCCGCCCCATTCTCCCGCTTTCCATCACCCCGCCCCATTCTCCCGCTTTCCATCACCCCTCCCCTTTCTCCCGCTTTCCATCTCCCCGCCCCATTCTCCCGCTTTCCATCACCCCGCCACATTCTCTCGCTTTCCATCACCCCGCCCCATTCTCCCGCTTTTCATCACGCCGCCCCATTCTCCCGCTTTCCATCACCCCGCCCCATTCTCCCTCCTTCCATCACCCCGCCCCATTCTCCCGCTTTCCATCACCCCGCCCCATTCTCCCTCCTTCCATCACCCCGCCCCATTCTCCCTCATTCTATCACCCCGCCCCATTCTCCCGCTTTCCATCACCCAGCCCCATCCTCCCGCTTCCCATAACCCCACCCCATTCTCCCGCTTTCCATCACCCCGCCACATTTTCCCACTTTCCATCACCCCGCCCCATTCTCCCTCCTTCCATCACCCCGCCCCATTCTCCCGCTTTCCATCAGCCCGCCCCATTCTCCCGCTTTCCATCATCTCGCCCCTTTCTCCCGCTTTCCATCTCCCCGCCCCATTCTCCCGCTTTCCATCACCCCGCCCCATTCTCCCGCTTTCCATCACCCCGCCCCATTCTCCCGCTTTCCATCACCCCGCCCCATTCTTCCGCTTCCCATCATCCCGCCCTATTCCACCGCTTTCCATCACCCTTCCCCATTCTCCCTCCTTCCATCACCTCGCCCCATTCTCCCGCTTTCCATCACCCCGCCCCATTCTTCTGCTTTCCATCACCCCGCCCCATTCTCCCGCTTTCCATCACCCCGCCCCATTCTCCCTCCTTCCATCACCCTGCCCCATTCTCCCTCCTTCCATCACCCCGCCCCATTCTCCCGCTTTCCATCACCCCGCCACATTCTCCCGCTTTCTATCACCCCGCCCCATTCTCCCTCCTTCTATCACCCCGCCCCATTCTCCCGCTTTCACCACCCCGCCCCATTCTCCCGATTTCCATCACCCCGCCCCATTCTCCCGCTTTCCATCATCCCGCCCCATTCTCCCTCCTTCCATCACCCCGCCCCATTCTCCCGCTTTCCATCACTCCGACCCATTCTCCCTCCTTCCATCACCCCGCCCCATTCTCCCTCCTTCCATCACCCCGCCCCATTCTCCCGCTTTCCATCACCCCGCCCCAATCTCCTGCTTCCCATAACCCCACCCCATTCTCCCGCTTTCCATCTCCCCGCCCCATTCTCCCGCTTTCCATCACCCCGCCCCATTCTCCCGCTTTCCATCACCCCGCCCCATTCTTCCGCTTCCCATCATCTCGCCCCATTCCCCCGCTTTCCATCACCCCGCCCCATTCTCCCGCTTTCCATCAGCCCGCCCCATTCTCCCGCTTTCCATCACCCCTCCCCTTTCTCCCGCTTTCCATCTCCCCGCCCCATTCTCCCGCTTTCCATCACCCCGCCCCATTCTCTCGCTTTCCATCACCCCGCCCCATTCTCCCGCTTTTCATCACGCCGCCCCATTCTCCCGCTTTCCATCACCCCGCCCCATTCTCCCTCCTTCCATCACCCCGCCCCATTCTCCCGCTTTCCATCACCCCGCCCCATTCTCCCTCCTTCCATCACCCCGCCCCATTCTCCCTCATTCTATCACCCCGCCCCATTCTCCCGCTTTCCATCACCCAGCCCCATCCTCCCGCTTCCCATAACCCCACCCCATTCTCCCGCTTTCCATCACCCCGCCACATTTTCCCACTTTCCATCACCCCGCCCCATTCTCCCTCCTTCCATCACCCCGCCCCATTCTCCCGCTTTCCATCAGCCCGCCCCATTCTCCCGCTTTCCATCATCTCGCCCCTTTCTCCCGCTTTCCATCTCCCCGCCCCATTCTCCCGCTTTCCATCACCCCGCCCCATTCTCCCGCTTTCCATCACCCCGCCCCATTCTCCCGCTTTCCATCACCCCGCCCCATTCTTCCGCTTCCCATCATCCCGCCCTATTCCACCGCTTTCCATCACCCTTCCCCATTCTCCCTCCTTCCATCACCTCGCCCCATTCTCCCGCTTTCCATCACCCCGCCCCATTCTTCTGCTTTCCATCACCCCGCCCCATTCTCCCGCTTTCCATCACCCCGCCCCATTCTCCCTCCTTCCATCACCCTGCCCCATTCTCCCTCCTTCCATCACCCCGCCCCATTCTCCCGCTTTCCATCACCCCGCCACATTCTCCCGCTTTCTATCACCCCGCCCCATTCTCCCTCCTTCTATCACCCCGCCCCATTCTCCCGCTTTCACCACCCCGCCCCATTCTCCCGATTTCCATCACCCCGCCCCATTCTCCCGCTTTCCATCATCCCGCCCCATTCTCCCTCCTTCCATCACCCCGCCCCATTATTCCACTTTCCATCACTCCGACCCATTCTCCCTCCTTCCTAGCTGAGAATGGGGCGGGGTGATGGAATGCGGGAGAATGGGGCGGGGTGATGGAAGGAGGGAGAATGGGGCGGGGTGATGGAAAGTGGAATAATGTGGCGGGGTGATGGAAAGCGGTAGAATGGGGCGGGGTGATGGAAGGAGGGAGAATGGGGCGGGGTGATGGAAAGAGGGAGAATAGGGCGGGGTGATGGAAAGCGGGGGAATGGGGCTGGATGATGGAAAGCGGGAGAATGGGGCGGGGTGACGGAAAGAGGGAGAATGGGGCAGGGTGACGGAAATCGAGAGAATTGGGCGGGGTGATGGAAAGTGGGAGATGGGTCGGGGTGATGGAAAGCGGGAGAATGGGGCGGGGTGATGGAAGGAGGGAGAATGGGGCGGAGTGATGAAAAGCGGGAGAATGGGGTGGGGTGATAGAAAGTGGGAGAATGGGGCGGGGTGATGGAAAGCGGGAGAATGGGGAGGGGTGAAGGAAAGCGGGAGAATGGGGCGGGGTGATGGAAAGCGGGAGAATGGGGTGGGGTGATGGAAAGCGGGAGAATCGGGCGGGATGATGGAAAGCGGGAGATTGGGGCATGGTGATGGAAAGCATGAGAATGGGGCGGGGTGATAGAAAGAGGGAAAATAAGGCGGGGTGATGGAAAGTGTGAGAATGGGGCTGGGTGATGGAAAGCGGGAGAATGGGGCGGGGTGATGGAAAGCGGGAGAATGGGGCGGGGTGATGGAAAGAGGGAGAATGAGGCGGAGTGATGGAAGGAGGGAGAATGGGGCGGGGTGATGGAAAGCAGGAGAATGGGGCGGGGTGATGGAAAGCGGGAGAATGGAGCGGGGTGATGGAAAGCGGGAGAATGGGGCGGGGTGTTGGAAAGCGGGAGAATGGGGCGGGGTGATGAAAAGCGGGAGAATGGGGCGGGGTGATGGAAAGTGGGAGAATGGGGCGAGGTGATGGAAAGCAGGAGAATGGGGCGGGTGATGGAAAGCGGGTGAATGGGGCGGGGTGATGGAAAGCAGGAGAATGGGGCGGGGTGATGGAAAGCAGAAGAATAGGGCGGGGTGATGGAAAGCGGGAGATGGGGCGAGGTGATGGAAAGCGGGAGAATGGGGCGGGTAATGGAAAGCGGGAGAATGGGGCGGGGTGATAGAAAGAGGGAAAATGGGGAGGGGTGATGGAAAGCGGGGGAATGGGGCGGGATGATGGGAAGCGGGAGAATGGGGCGGGGTGATGGAAAGCGGGAGAATGGGGCGGGTTGATGGAAGGAGGGAGAATGGGGCGGGTGATGGAAGGAGGGAGAATGGGGCGGGGTTATGGAAAGGGGGAGGATGGGGCGGGGTGATGGAAAGCGGGAGAATGGGGCGGGGTGATGGAAGGAGGGAGAATGGGGCGGGGTGATGGAAAGCGGGAGATTGGGGCATGGTGATGGAAAGCATGAGAATGGGGCGGGGTGATAGAAAGAGGGAAAAAAAGGCGGGGTGATGGAAAGTGGGAGAATGGGGCTGGGTGATGGAAAGCGGGAGAATGGGGCGGGGTGATGGAAAGCGGGAGAATGGGGCGGGGTGATGGAAAGAGGGAGAATGAGGCGGAGTGATGGAAGGAGGGAGAATGGGGCGGGGTGATGGAAAGCAGGAGAATGGGGCGGGGTGATGGAAAGCGGGAGAATGGAGCGGGGTGATGGAAAGCGGGAGAATGGGGCGGGGTGTTGGAAAGCGGGAGAATGGGGCGGGGTGATGAAAAGCGGGAGAATGGGGCGGGGTGATGGAAAGTGGGAGAATGGGGCGAGGTGATGGAAAGCAGGAGAATGGGGCGGGTGATGGAAAGCGGGTGAATGGGGCGGGGTGATGGAAAGCAGGAGAATGGGGCGGGGTGATGGAAAGCAGAAGAATAGGGCGGGGTGATGGAAAGCGGGAGATGGGGCGAGGTGATGGAAAGCGGGAGAATGGGGCGGGTAATGGAAAGCCGGAGAATGGGGCGGGGTGATAGAAGGAGGGAAAATGGGGAGGGGTGATGGAAAGCGGGGGAATGGGGCGGGAGGATGGGAAGCGGGAGAATGGGGCGGGGTGATGGAAAGCGGGAGAATGGGGCGGATTGATGGAAAGCGGGAGAATGGGGCAGGGAGATGGAAAGCGGGAGAAAGGGGCGGGCTGATGGAAAGCAGGAGAATGGGGCGGGGTGATGGAAGGAGGGAGAATGGGGCGGGGTGATGGAAGGAGGGAGAAGGGGGCGGCGTCATGGAAAGCGGGAGAATGGGGCGGGGTGATGGAAAGCGGGAGAATGGGGCGGGGTGATGGAAGGAAGGAGAATGGGGCGGGGTGATCGAAAGCGGGAGAATGTGGCGGGGTGATGGAAAGCGGGAGAATGAGGTGGGGTTATGGGAAGCGGGAGAATGGGGCGGCGTGATGGAAAGCGGGAGAATGGGGCGGGGTGATGGAAGGAGGGAGAATAGCGCGGGGTGATGGAAAGCGGGAGAATGGGGCGGGGTGATGGAAGGAGGGAGAATGGGGCGGGGTGATGGAAAGCGGGAGAATGGGGCGGGGTGATGGAAGGAGGGAGAATGTGGCGGGGTGATGGAAAGCGGGAGAATGGGGCGGGGTGATGGAAAGTGGGAGAATGGGGCGCGGTGATGGAAAGCATGAGAATGGGGCGGGGTGATGGAAAGTGGGAGAATGGGGCGGGGTGATTGAAGGAGGGAGAATGGGGCGGGTGATGAAAGGAGGGACAATGGGGCGGGGTTATGGAAAGCGGGAGAATGGGGCGAGGTGATGGAAAGCGGGAGAATGGGGCAGGGTGATGGAAGGAGGGAGAATGGGGCGGGGTGATGGAAAGCAGGAGATTGGGGCAGGGTGATGGAAAGCGGGAGAATGGGGCAGGGTGATGGAAAGCGGGAAAATGGGACGGGGTGATGGAAAGTGCGAGAATGGGGCTGGGTGATGGAAAGCACGAGAATGGGGCGGGGTGATGGAAAGCGGGAGAATGGGGCGGGGTGATGGAAGGAGGGAGAATGAGGCGGGGTGATGGAAGGAGGGAGAATGGGGCGGGTTGATGGAAAGCGGGAGAATGGGGCGGGGTGATGGAAAGCGGGAGAATGGGGCGGAGTGATGGAAAGCGGGAGAATGGGGCGGGGTGATGGAAAGCGGGAGAATGGGGCGGGGTGATGGAAAGCGGGAGAACGGGGCGGGGTGTTGGAAAGCGGGAGAATGGGGCGGGTTATGGAATGCGGGTGAATGGGGCGGGGTGATTGAAAGCGGGAGAATGGGGCGGGGTGATGGAAAGCAGAAGAATGGGGCGAGGTGATGGAAAGCGGGAGAATGGGGCGAGGTGATGGAAAGCGGGAGAATGGGGCGGGTGATGGAAAGCGGGAGAATGGGGCGGGGTGATGGAAGGAGGGAGAATGGGGAGGGGTGATGGAAAGCGGGGGAATGGGGCGGGATGATGGGAAGCGGGAGAATGGGGCGGGGTGATGGAAAGCGGGAGAATGGGGCGGGGTGATGGGAAGCGGGAGAATGGGGAGGGGAGATGGAAAGCGGGAGAATGGGGCGGGCTGATAGAAAGTAGGAGAATGGGGCGGGGTGATGTAAGGAGGGAGAATGGGGTTGGGTGATGGAAGGAGGGAGAAGGGGGCGGGGTGATGGAAAGCGGGAGAATGGGGTGGGGTGATGGAAAGCGAGAGAATGGGGCGGGGTGATGGAAAGCGGGAGAATGGGGAGGGCTGATGGAAAGCGGGAGAATGGGGCGGGGTGATCAAAGGAGGGAGAATGGGGCGGGGTGATGGAAAGCGGGAGAATGGGGCGGGGTGATGGAAGGAGGGAGAATGGGGCGGGGTGATGGAAGGAGGGAGAAGGGGGCGGGGTGATGGAAAGCGGAAGAATGGCGCGGGGTGATGGAAAGCGGGAGAATGGGGCGGGGTGATGGAAAGCGGGAGAATGGGGCGGGGTGATGGAAAGCGGGAGAATGGTGCGGGGTGATGGAAAGCGGGATAATGGGGCAGGGTGATGGAAAGCGGGAGAATGGGGCGGGGTGAAGGAAGGAGGGAGAACGGGGCGGGGTGATGGAAGGAGGAAGAAGGGGGCGGGGTGATGGAAAGCGAGAGAATGGGCCGGGGTGTTGGAAAGCGGGAGAATGGGGCGGGGTGATGAAAAGCGGGAGAATGGGGCGGGGTGATGGAAACTGGGAGAATGGGGCGGGGTGATGGAAAGCGGGAGAATGGGGCGGGTGATGGAAAGCGGGTGAATGGGGCAGGGTGATGGAAAGCAGAAGAATGGGGCGGGGTGATGGAAAGCGGGAGAATGGGGCGAGGTGATGGAAAGCGGGAGAATGGGGCGGGGTGATGGAAAGCGGGAGAATGGGGTGGGGTGATGGAAAGCGGGGAAATGGGGCGGGGTGATGGAAAGCGGGAGAATGATGCGGGGTGATGGAAAGCGGGAGAACGGGGCGGGGTGATGGAAAGCGGGAGAATGGGGCGGGGTGATGGAACGCGGGAGAATGGGGCGGGGTGATGGAATGCGGGAGAATGGGGCGGGGTGATGGAAAGTGGGAGAATGGGGTGGGCTGATGGAAAGCGGGAGAATGGGGCGGGGTGATGGAAGAAGGGAGAATGGGGCGGGGTGATGGAAAGCGGGAGAATGGGGCGGGGTGATGGAAAGCGGGAGAATGGGGCGGGCAGATGGAAAGCGGGAGAATGGGGCGGTGTGATGGAAGGAGGGAGAATGGGGCGGGGTGATCGAATGCGGGAGAATGGGGCGGGGTGATGGAAGGAGGGAGAATGGGGCGGGGTGATCGAATGCGGGAGAATGGGGCGAGGTGGTGGAAAGAGGGAGAATGGGGCGGGGTGATGGAAAGGAGGAGAATGGGGCGGGGTGATGTAAGGAGGGAGAATAGGGCGGGGTGATGGAAGGAGGGAGAATGGGGCGGGGTGATGGAAGGAGGGAGAATGGGGCGGGGTGATAGAAAGCGGGAGAATGGGGCGGGGTGATGGAAAGCGGGAGAATGGGACGGGGTGATGGAAAGCGGGAGAATGGGGCGGGGTGATAGAAAGCGGGAGAATGGGGAGGGGTGATGGAAAGCGGGAGAATGGGGCAGGGTGATGGAAAGCGGGAGAATGGGGCGGGGTTATGGAAAGCAGGAGAATAAGGCGGGGTGATGGAAGGAGGGAGAATGGGGCGGGGTGATGGAAAGCGGGAGAATGGGGCGGGGTGATGGAAAGCGGGAGAATAGGGCGGGATGATGGAAAGCGGGAGAATGGGGAGGGGTGATGGAAAGAGGGAGAATGGGACGGGGTGATGAAAAGCGGAAGAATGGGGCGGGGCGATGGAAAGAGGAAGGATGGGGTGGGGTGATGGAAAGAGGGAGAATGGGGCGGGGTGATGAAAAGAGGGAGAATGGGGCGGGGTGATGGAAAGCGGGAGAATGGGGCGGGGTGATGGAAAACGGGAGAATGGGGTGGGGTGATGGAAAGCGGGAGAATGGGGCGGGGTGATGGAAAGCGGGAGAATGGGGCGGGATGATGGAAAGAGGGAGAAAGGGGCGGGGTGATGGAAAGCGGGAGAATGGGGCGGGGTGATGGAAAGCGGGAGAATGGGGCGGAGTGATGGAAAGCGGGAGAATGGGGCGGGGTGATGGAAAGCGGGAGAATGGGGCGGGGTGATGGAAAGCGGGAGAATGGGGCGGGGTGATGGAAAGCGGGAGAATGGGGCGGGGTGATGGAAAGCTTGAGAATAGGGCGGGGTGATGGAAAGCGGGAGAATGGGGCGGAGTGATGGAAAGCGGGAGAACGGGGCAGGGTGATGGAAAGCGGGAGAATGGGGCGGGGTGATGGAAAGAGGGAGAATGGGGCGGGGTGATGGAAAGCGGGAGAATGGGGCGGGGTGATGAAAAGCGGAAGAATGGGGCGGGGTGAAGAAAAGCGGGAGAATGGGGCGGGCTGATGGAATGAGGGGGAATGGGGCGGGGTGATGGAAAGAGGGAGAATGGGGCAGGGTGATGAAAAGCGGAAGAATGGGGTGGGTTGATGGAAAGAGGGAGAATGGGGCGGGGTGAAGAAAAGCGGGAGAATGGGGCGGGTTGATGGAAAGAGGGAGAATAGGGCGGGGTGAATGGGGCGGGGTGATGGAAAGCGGAAGAATGGGGCGGGGTGATGGAAAGCGGGAGAATGGGGCGGGGTGATGGAAAGCGGGAGAATGGGGCGGGGTGATGGAAAGCGGGAGAATGGGGCGGGGTGATGGAAAGCGGGAGAATGGGGTGGGGTGATGGAAAGCGGGAGAATTGGGCGGGTTGATGGAAAGCGGGAGAATGGGGCGGGGTGATGGAAAGCTGGAGAATGGGGCGGGGTGATGGAAAGCGGGAGAATGGGGCGGGGTGATGGTAAGCTGGAGAATGGGGCGGGGTGATGGAAAGCGGGAGAATGGGGTGGGGTGATGGAAAGCGGGAGAATTGGGCGGGTTGATGGAAAGCGGGAGAATGGGGCGGGGTGATGGAAAGCTGGAGAATGGGGCGGGGTGATGGAAAGCGGGAGAATGGGGCGGGGTGATGGTAAGCTGGAGAATGGGGCGGGGTGATGGAAAGCGGGAGAATGGGGCGGGGTGATGGAAAACGGGAGAATGGGCCGGGGTGATGGAAAGCGGGAGAATAGGGCGGGGTGATGGAAAGCGGGAGAATGGGGCGGGGTGATGGAAAGCAGGAGAATGGGGCGGGGTGATGGAAAGCTTGAGAATGGGGCGAGGTGATGGAAAGCGGGAGAATGGGGCGGGGTGATGGAAAACGGGAGAATGGGGTGGGGTGATGGAAAGCGGGAGAATGGGGCGGGGTGATGGAAAGCGGGAGAATGGGGCGGGGTGATGGAAAGAGGGAGAAAGGGGCGGGGTGATGGAAAGCGGGAGAATGGGGCGGGGTGATGGAAAGCGGGAGAATGGGGCGGGGTGATGGAAAGCGGGAGCATGGGGCGGGGTAATGGAAAGCGGGAGAATGGGGCGGGGTGATGGAAAGCGGGAGAATGGGGCGTGGTGATGGAAAGCGGGAGAATGGGGCGGGATGATGGAAAGCTTGAGAATAGGGCGGGGTGATGGAAAGCGGGAGAATGGGGCGGAGTGATGGAAAGCGGGAGAACGGGGCAGGGTGATGGAAAGCGGGAGAATGGGGCGGGGTGATGGAAAGCGGGAGAATGGGGCGGGGTGATGGAAAGCGGGAGAATGGGGCGGGGTGATGAAAAGCGGAAGAATGGGGCGGGGTGAAGAAAAGCGGGAGAATGGGGGGGGCTGATGGAAAGAGGGGGAATGGGGCGCGGTGATGGAAAGAGGGAGAATGGGGCAGGGTGATGAAAAGCAGAAGAATGGGGTGGGGTGCTGGAAAGAGGGAGAATTGGGCGGGGTGAAAAAAAAGCGGGAGAATGGGGCGGGTTGATGGAAAGAGGGAGAATGGGGCGGGGTGAATGGGGCGGGGTGATGGAAAGCGGAAGAATGGGGCGGGGTGATGGAAAGCGGGAGAATGGGGCGGGGTGATGGAAAGCGGGAGAATGGGGCGGGGTGATGGAAAGCGGGAGAATGGGGCGGGGTGATGGAAAGCGGGAGAATGGGGCGGGGTGATGGTAAGCTGGAGAATGGGGCGGGGTGATGGAAAGCGGAAGAATGGGGCGGGGTGATGGAAATAGGGAGGATGGGGCGGGGTGATGGAACGAGGGAGCATGGGGCAGGGTGATGGAAATAAGGAGAATGGGGCGGGGTGATGGAAAGCGGGAGAATGGGGCGGGGTGATGGAAAGCGGGAGAATGAGGCGGGATGATGGAAAGCGGGAGAATGGGGTGGGGTGATGGAAGGAGGGAGATTGGGGCGGGGTGATGGAAAGCGGGAAAAGGGGGCGAGGTGATGGAAAGCGGGAAAATAAGGCGGGGCTATGGAGTGCGGGAGACTGGGGCGGGGTGAGGGAAAGCGGGAGAATGGGGCGGGGTGATGGAAAGCGGGAGAATGGGGCGGGGTGATGGAAAGCGGTAGAATGGGGCGGGGTGATGGAAAGCGGGAGAATGGGGCAGGGTGATGGAAAGCGGGAGAGTGGGGCGGGGTGATGGAAAGCGGGAGAATGGGGTGGGGTGATGGAAAGCGGGAGAATGGGGCGGGTTGATGGAAAGCGGGAGAATGGGGCGGGGTAATGGAAAGCGGGAGAATAAGGTGGGGTGATGGAAGGAGGGAGAATGAGGCGGGGTGATGGAAAGCGGGAGAATGGGGCAGGATGATGGAAAGCGGGAGAATGGGGAGGGGTGATGGAAAGCGGGCGAATAGGGCGGGGTGATGGAAGGCAAGAGAATCGGGCGGGGTGATGGAAGGAGGGAAAATGGGGCGGGGTGATGGAAGGAGGGAGAATGGGACGGGGTGATGGAAAGCGGGAGAATGGGGCTGGGTGATAGGAAGCGGGAGAATGGGGCGGGGTGATGGAAAGCGGTACAATGAGGCGGGGTCGTGGAAAGCGGGAGAATGGGGCGTGGTGATGGAAGGAGGGAGATTGGGGCGGGGTGATGGAAGCAACGAGAATGGGGAGGGGTGATGGAAAGCGGGAGAATGGGGCGGGGTGATGGAAAACGGGAAAATGGGGCGGGGTGATGGAAAGTGGGAGAATGGGGCGGTGTGATGGAAGGAAGGAGAATGGGGCTGGGTGATGGAAGGAGGGAGAATGGGGAGGGGTGATGGAAAGCGGGAGAATGGGGCGGGGTGATGGAAAGCGGGAGAACGGGGCGGGGTGATGGAAAGCGAGAGAATGGGGCGGGGTGATGGAAAGCGGGAGAATGGGGTGGGGTGATGGAAAGCGGGAGAATGGTTTGGGGTGATGGGAAGGAGGGAGAATGGGGCGGGGTGATGGAAGGTGGGAGGATGGGGCGGGGTGATGGAAAGCGGGAGAATGGGGCGGGGTGATGGAAAGCGGGAGAGTGGGGCGGGGTGATGGAAAGCGGGAGAATGGGGTGGGGTGGTGGAAAGCGGGAGAATGGGGCGGGGTGATGGAAAGCAGGAGAATGGGGCGGGGTGATGGAAAACGGGAAAATGGGGCGGGGTGATGGAAAGCGGGAGAATGGGGCGGGGTGATGGAAGGCAGGAGAATGGGGCGGGGAGATGGAAGGAGGAAGAATGGGGTGGGTTGATGGAAAGAGGGAGATTGGGGCGGGGTGATGGAAAGCAGGAGAATGGGGCGGGGCGATGATAAGCGGGAGAATGGGGCGGAGTGATGGAAAGCGGGAGAATGGGGCGGGGTGATGGAAAGCGGGAGAATGGGGCGGGGTGATGGGAGAATGGGGCGGGGTGATGGAAAGCGGGAGAATGGGGCAGGGTGATGGAAAGCGGGAGAATGGGGCGGGGTGATGGAAAGTGGGAGAATGGGGTAGGGTGATGAAAAGCGGGAGAATGGGGCGGGGTGATGTAAAGCTGGAGCATGGGGCGGGGTGATGGAAGGAGGTAGAATGAGGCGGGGTGATGGAAGGAGGGAGAATGGGGCAGGGTGATGGAAAGCGGGAGAATGGGGCGGGGTGATGGAAGGAGGGAGAATGGGGCGGGGTGATGGAAAGCGGGAGAATGGGGCGGGGTGATGGAAAGCGGGAGAATGGGGCGGGGTGATGGAAAGCGGGAGAATGGGGTGGGGTGATGGAAAGCGGGAGAATGGGGCGGGCTGATGTAAAGCGGGAGAATGGGGCGGGGTAATGGAAGGAGGGAGAATGGGGCGGGGTGATGGAAGGAGGGAGAATGGGGCGGGGTGATGGAAGGAGGGAGAATGGGGCGGGGTGATGGAAGGAGGGAGAATGGGGCAGGGTGATGGATAGCGGGAGAATGGGGCAAGGTGATGGAAAGCAGGAGAATGGGGCAGGGTGATGGAAAGCTGGAGAACGGGGCAGGGTGATGGAAAGCGGGAGAATGAGGCAGGGTAATGGAAAGCGGGAGAATGGGGCGAGGTGATGGAAAGCGGGAGAATGGTGCGGGGTGATGGAAAGCGGGAGAATGGGGCGGGGTGATGGAAGGAGGGAGAATGAGGTGGGGTGATAGAAGGAGGGAGAATGGGGCGGGGTGATGGAAGGAGGGAGAATGGGGCGGGGTGATGGAAAGCAGGAGAATGGGGCGGGGTGATGGAAAGCAGGAGAATGGGGCGGGGATATGGAAAGCGGGAGAATGGGGCGGGGTGATGGAAACTGGGAGAATGGGGCGGGGTGATGGAAAGCGGGAGAATGGGGCGGGGTAATGGAAAGCGGGAGAATGGGGCGGGGTGATGGAAGGAGGGAGAATGAGGCGGGGTGATGGAAGCAGGGAGAATGGGGCGGGGTGATGGAAAGCGGGTGAATGGGGCGTTGTGATGGGAAGCGGGAGAATGGGGCGGGGTGATGGAGAGCAGGAGAATGGGGCGGGGTGATGGAAAGCGGGAGAATGGGACGGGTTTATGGGAAGCGGGAGAATGGGGCGGGGTGATGGAAGGAGGGAGAATGGGGCGGGGTGATGGAAGGAGGGAGAATGGGGCGGGGTGATGGAAGGAGGAAGAAGGGGGCGGGGTGATGGAAAGCGGGAGAATGGGGCGGGGAGATGGAAAGCGGGAGAAAGGGGCGGGGTGATGGAAAGCGGGAGAATGGGGCGGGCTGATGGAAAGCGGGAGAATGGGGCGGGGTGATGGAAGGAGGGAGAATGGGGCGGGGTGATGGAAGGAGAGAGAAAGGGGCGGGGTGATGGAAAGTGGGAAAATGTGGCGGGGTGATGGAAACCGGGAGAATGGGGTGGGGTTATGGGAAGCGGGAGAATAGGGCGGGGTGATGGAAAGCGGGAGAATGGAGCGGGGTGATGGAATGAGGGAGAATGGGGCGGGGTGATGGAAGGAGGGAGAATGGGGCGGGGTGATAGAAAGCGGGAGAATGGGGCGGGGTGATGGAAGGAGGGAGAATGGGGCGGGGTGATGGAAAGCGGGACAATGGGGCAGGGTGATGGAAAGCGGGAGAATGGGGCGGGGTGATGGAAAGCGAGAGAATGGGGCGAGGTGATGGAAGGAGGGAGAATGGGGAGGGGTGATGGAAAGCGGGGGAATGGGGCGGGATGATGGGAAGCGGAAGAATGGGGCGGGGTGATGGAAAGCGGGTGAATGGGGCGGGGTGATGGAAAGCGGGAGAATGGGGTGGGGAGATGGAAATCGGGAGAAAGGGGAGGGGTGATGGAAAGCGGGAGAATGGGGCGGGCTGATGAAGAGCGGGAGAATGGGGTGGGGTGATGGAAGGAGGGAGAATGGGGCGGGGTGATGGAAGGAGAGAGAAGGGGGCGGAGTGATGGAAAGCGGGAGAATGGGGCGGGGTGATGGAAGGAGGGAGAATGGGGCGGGATGATGGAAAGCGGGAGAATGGGGCGGGGTGATGGAAAGCGGGAGAATGGGGCGGGGTGATGGAAAGCGGGAGAATGGGGTGGGGTTATGGGAAGCGGGAGAATGGGGCGGGGTGATGGAAAGCGGGAGAATGGGGCGGGGTGATGGAAGGAGGGAGAATGGGGCGGGGTGATGGAAGGAGGGAGAATGGGGCGGAGTGATGGAAAGCGGGAGAATGGGGCGGGGTGATGGAAGGAGGGAGAATGGGGCGGGATGATGGAAAGCGGGAGAATGGGGCGGGGTGATGGAAAGCGGGAGAATGGGGCGAAGTGATGGAAAGCGGGAGAATGGGGCGGGGTGATGGAAAGCGGGAGAATGGGGCGGGGTGATGGAAAGCGGGAGATTGGGGCGGGGTGATGGAAGGAGGGAGACTGGGGCGGGGTGATAGAAAGCGGGAAAATGTGGCGGGGTGATGGAAAGCAGGAGAATGGGGTGGGGTGATGGGAAGCGGGAGAATGGGGCGGGGTGATGGAAAGCGGGAGAATGGGGCGGGCTGATGGAAAGCGGGAGAATGGGGCGGCGTGATGGAAGGAGGGAGAATGGGGCGGGGTGATGGAAGGAGGGAGAAGGGGGCGGGGTGATGGAAAGTGGGAGAATGGGGCGGGGTGATGGAAAGCGGGAGAATGGGGCGGGGTGATGGAAAGCAACAGAATGGGGCGGGGTGATGGAAAGCTTGAGAATGGGGCGGGGTGATGGAAAGCGGGAGAATGGGGCGGAGTGATAGAAAGCGGGAGAATGGGGCGGGGTGATGTAAGGAGGGAGAATAGGGCGGGGTGATGGAAGGAGGGAGAATGGGGCGGGGTGATGGAAGGAGGGAGAATGGGGCGGGGTGATAGAAAGCGGGAGAATGGGGCGGGGTGATGGAAAGCGGGAGAATGGGACGGGGTGATGGAAAGCGGGAGAATGGGGCGGGGTGATAGAAAGCGGGAGAATGGGGCGAGGTGATGGAAAGCGGGAGAATGGGGCGGGGTGATGGAAAGCTGGAGAATGGGGCGGGGTGATGGAAAGAGGGAGAATGGGACGGGGTGATGAAAAGCGGAAGAATGGGGCGGGGCGATGGAAAGAGGAAGGATGGGGTGGGGTGATGGAAAGAGGGAGAATGGGGCGGGGTGATGAAAAGAGGGAGAATGAGTTGTCCACGGGAGAATGGGAGAATGGGGCAGTTGGGAGTGATGGGTCATAAGCGGGAGCTGAGACTCCGAATCATACACCCCGTGGAAAGCGGGAGAATGGGGCGGGGTGATGGAAGGAGGGAGAATGGGGCGGGGTGATGGAAAGCGGGAGAATGGGGCGGGGTGATGGAAAGCGGGAGAATGGGGCGGGGTGATGAAAAGCGGGAGAATGGGGCGGGATGATGGAAAGCGGGAGCATGGGGCGGGGTGATGGAAGGAGGTAGAATGAGGCGGGGTGATGGAAGGAGGGAGAATGGGGCGGGGTGATGGAAAGTGGGAGAATGGGGCGGGGTGATGGAAAGCGGGAGAAAGGGGCGGGGTGATGGAAAGCGGGATAATGGGACGGGCTGATAGAAAGTGGGAGAATGGGGCGGGGTGATGGAAGGAGGGAGAATGGGGCGGGGTGATGGAAAGCGAGAGAATGGGGCGGGGTGATGGAAAGCGGGAGAATGGGGCGGGGTGATGGAAAGAGGGAAAATGGCGCGGGGTGATGGAAAGCGGGAAAATGGGGCAGGGTGATGGAAGGAGGGAGAATGGGGCGGGGTGATGGAAAGCGGGAGAATGGGGCGGGGTGATGGAAAGCGGGAGAATGGGGTGGAGTGATGGAAAGCGGGAGAATGGGGCGGGGTGATGGAAAGTGGAAGAATGTGGCGGGGTGATGGAAAGTGGAAGAATGTGGCGGGGTGATGGAAAGCGGTAGAATGGGGCGGGGTGATGGAAGGAGGGAGAATGGGGCGGGGTGATGGAAAGAGGGAGAATAGGGCGGGTTGATGAAAAGCGGGGGAATGGGGCTGGATGATGGAAAGCAGGAGAATGGGGCGGGGTGACGGAAAGAGGGAGAATGGGGCAGGGTGACGGAAATCGAGAGAATTGGGCGGGGTGATGGAAAGTGGGAGAATGGGTCGGGGTGATGGAAAGCGGGAGAATGGGGTGGGGTGATAGAAAGTGGGAGAATGGGGCGGGGTGATGGAAAGCGGGAGAATGGGGAGGGGTGAAGGAAAGCGGGAGAATGGGGCGGGGTGATGGAAAGCAGGAGAATGGGGTGGGGTGATGGAAAGCGGGAGAATGGGGCGGGGTGATGGAAAGCGGGAGAATAGGGCGGGGTGATGGAAAGCGGGAGACTGGGGTGGGATGATGGAAAGCGGGAGAATGGGGCAGGTGATGGAAAGCAGGAGAATGGGGCGGGGTGATGGAAAGCGGGAGAATGGGGCGGGGTGATGGAAAGCGGGAGAATGGGGCGAGGTGATGGAAAGCGGGAGAATGGGCGTGTGATGGAAAGCGGAGAATGGGGCGGGGTGATGGAAAGCGGGAGAATGGGGCGAGGTGATGGAAAGCGGGAGAATAAGGCGGGGTGATGGAAAGCGGGAGAATGGGGTGGTGTGATGGAAATTGGGAGAATAGGGCGGGGTGATGGATGGAGGGAGAATGGGGCGGGGTCATGGAAGGAGGGAGAATGGGGCAGGGTGATGGAAAGCAGGAGAATGGGGAGGGGTGATGGAAAGCAGGAGAATGGTGCGGGGTGATGGAGAGCAGGAGAATGGGGCGGGGTGATGGAAAGCGGGAGAATGGGGTGGGGTGATGGAAGGAGGGAGAATCGGGCAGGGTGATGGAAAGCAGGAGAATGGGGAAGGTTGATGGAAAGCGGGAGAATGGGGCAGGGTGATGGAAACCGGGAGAAAGGGGCGAGGTGATGGAAAGTGGTAGAATGGGGCGGGGTGATGGAAAGCGGGAGAATGGGGCGGGGTGATGGAAGGAGGGAGAATGGGGACGGGTGATAGAAAGCGGGAGAATGGGGCGGGTTGATGGGAATCGGGAGAATGAGGCGGGGTGATGGAAAGCGGGAGAATGGGGCGGCTGATGGAAAGCTGGAGAATGGGGCGGGGTGATGGAAAGCGGGAATATGGGGTGGGGTGATGGAAAGCGGGAGAATGGGGTGGGGTGATGGAAAGCGGGAGAATGGGGCGGGGTGATGGAAAGCGGGAGAATGGGGCGGGTTATGGAAAGCTGGAGAATGGGGCGGGGTGATGGAAAGCGGTGGAATGGGGCGGGCTGATAGAAAGCGGGAAAATGGAGCGAGGTGATGGAAGGAGGGAGAATGGGGCGGGATGATGGAAGGAGGGAGAATGGGGCAGGGCGATGGAAGGAGGGAGAATGAGGCGGGCTGATGGAAAGTGGGAGAATGTGGCTGGGTGATGGAAAGCGGGAGAATGCGGCGGGGTGATGGAAAGTGGGAGAATGGGGCGGGGTGATGGAAAGCGGGAGAATGAGGCGGGGTGATGGAAGGAGGGAGAATGGGGCGAGGTGATGGAAAGCGGGAGAATGGGGCGGGGTGATGGAAAGCGGGAGAATGGGCCGGGGTGATGGGAAGCGGGAGAATGGGGCAGGGTGATGGAAAGCGGGAGAATGGGGCGGGGTGATGGAAAGCGGGAGAATGGGGTGGAGTGATGGAAAGCGGGAGAATGGGGCGGGGTGATGGAAAGCGGGAAAATGGGGCGGGGTGATGGAAAGCTGGAGAATGGGGAGTGGTGATGGAAATCGGGAGAATGGGGCGGGGTGATGGAAAGCGGGAAAATGGGGCGGGGTGATAGAAAGCGGGAGAATGGGGCGGGGTGATGGAAAGAGGGAGAATGGGGCGGGGTGATGGAATGCGGGAGAATAGGGCGGGGTGATGGAAAGCGGGAGAATGGGGCGGGGTGATGGAAAGAGGGAGAATGGGGCGGGGTTATGGAAAGAGGGAGAATGAGGCGGGGTGATGGAAAGAGGGAGAATGGGGCGGGGTGATGGAAAGAGGTAGAATGGGGCAGAGTGATGGAAAGCGGGAGAATGGGGCGGGGTGATGGAAAGCGAGAGAATGGGGTGGGGTGATGGAAAGCGGGAGAATGGGACGGGGTGATGGAAAGAGGGAGAATGGGGCCGGGTGATGGAAAGCGGGAGAATAGGGCGGGGTGATGGAAAGCGGGAGAATGGGGCGGGGTGATGGAAAAAGGGGGAATGGGGCGGGGTGATGGAAAGCGGGAGAGATTCTGCTCAACTGCATCGACTGTGGGATGGGATGATGAGACTGGTGGTTGAAACCTGGTGATTGGTAATAAACGTGTTATTTCCTGACATCTCAAAGTAACTCTTTCATCACGTGGCTGGTGAGATGAAAGTAACTTTTTCATCAGATGGTGAGATGAAAGTTATTATTCGTCAGATGGTGAGATGAAAGTAACTCTTTGAACAGGTGGTGAGATGAAAGTAACTCTTCCATCAGATGGTGAGATGAAAGTAACTCTTTCGTCAGATAGTGAGATGAAAGTTATTATTCATCAGATGGTGAGATGAAAGTAACTCTTTCATCAGATGGTGAGATGAAAGTAACTCTTTCATCAGATGGTGAGATGAAAGTAACTCTTTCATCAGATGGTGAGATGGAAGTTATTATTCATCAGATGGTGAGATGAAAGTAACTCTTTCATCAGATGGTGAGATGAAAGTACCTCTTTCATCAGATGGTGAGATGAAAGTACCTCTGTCATCAGATGGTGAGATGAAAGTACCTCTGTCATCACGTGCCTGGTGTCCTCCGATCCGCAGTGAGTTTCCCTGTCATCGCCAGTGTGGGGCACGGGCTCATTTTCCTCATGTACTTGCCCCCCTTCCCCCTCCTCCCTCTGCTGGTCAGGGCCAAGGCTTTCGACCTTGACCTGGTGGGCCTGGTGTCGTCAAGCCCTCAAGCCTTCAAGCCCTCAAGCCCTCAAGCCCTAAAGCCTTCAAGCCTTCAAGCCTTCAAGCCTTCAAGAATTCGGGCCTTCAAGCCTTCAAGCCTTCAAGCCTCAAGCCTTCAAGCCCTTCAAGCCCTCAAGCCCTAAACCCCGCCCCATTCTCCCTCTTTCCTTCACCCCGCCCCATTCTCCCGCTTCCCATCACCCCGTCCCATTCTCCCTCTTCCCATCACCCCGCCCCATTCTCCCGCTTTCGATCACCCAACCCCATTCTCCCGCTTTTTATCACCCCGCCCCATTCTCCCGCTTTCCTTCACCCCGCCCGATTCCCTGGCTTCCCATCACCCTGCCCCATTCTCCCTCTTCCCATCACCCCGCCCCATTCTCCCGCTTTCCATCACCCCGCCCCATTCTCCCGCTTTCCATCACCGCGCCCCATTCTCCCCCATCACCCCACCCCATTCTCCTGCTTTCCATCACCCCGCCCCATTCTACCTCTTTCCATCACCCTGCCCCATTCTCCCGCTTTCCATCACCCCGCCCCATTCTCCCGCTTTCCATCACCCCGCCCCATTCTCCCTCTTTCCATCATCCCGGCCCATTCTCTCGCTTTCCATCACCCCGCCCCATTCTCCCTCTTTTCAACACCCCGCCTTATTCTCCCTCTTTCCATCACCCCGCCCCATTCACCCGCTTTCCATCACCCCGCCCCATTCTCCCGCTTTCTATCACCCGCTCCATTCTCCTGCTTTCCATCACCTCGCCCCATTCTCCCGCTTTCCATTACCCCGCCCTATTCTCCCGCTTTCCATCAACCCGCCCATTCTCCTGCTTTCCATCACCCCGCCCCATTCTCCCGCTTTCCATCACCCCGCCCCATTCTCCCGCTTTCCATCACCCCGCCCCATTCTCCCTCTTTCCATCACCTCGCCCCATTCTCCCTCTTTCCTTCACCCCGCCCCATTCTCCCGCTTCCCATCACCCCGCCCCGTTCTCCCTCTTCCCATCACCCCGCCCCATTCTCCTGCTTTCGATCACCCTGCCCATTCTCCCGCTTTCCATCACCCCGCCCTATTCTCCCGCTTTCCTTCACCCCGCCCCATTCCCCCGCTTCCCATCACCCCGCCCATTCGCCCGCTTCCCATCACCCAGCCTCATTCTCACCGCTTTCCATCACCCCGTCCCATTCTCCTGCTTTCCATCACCCCGCCCATTCTCCCTCTTTCCATCACCCCACCCATTCTCCTGCTTTCCATCACCCCGCCCCATTCTCCCTCTTTCCATCACCCCGCCCCATTCTCCCGCTTTCCATCACCCCGCCCCATTCTCCCGCTTTCCATCACCCCGCCCTATTCTCCCGCTTTCCATCACCCCGCCCCATTCTCCCGCTTTCCATCACCCCGCCCCATTCTCCACTTTCATCACCCGCCCCATTCTCCCACTTTCCATCACCCCGCCCCATTCTCCTCTTTCCATCACCCCGCCCCATTCTCCTACTTCCATCACCCCGACCCCATTCTCCCTCTTACCATCACCCCGCCCCATTCTCCCGCTTTCCATCACCCCGCCCCATTCTCCCGCTTCCATCACCCCGCCCCATTCTCCCGCTTTCCATCACCCGCCCCATTCTCCCTCTTTCCATCACCCCGCCCCATTCTCCCTTTCCATCACCCCGCCCCATTCTCCCGCTTTCCATCACCCCGCCCCATTCTCCCGCTTTCCATCCCCCGCCCCATTCTCCCTCTTTCCATCACCCCGCCCATTCTCCCGCTTTCCATCACCCCGCCCCATTCTCCCGCTTTCCATCACCCCGCCCCATTCTCCCGCTTTCCATCACCCCCCCATTCTTCTCTTTCCATCACCCCGCCCCATTCTCCCGCTTTCCATCACCCCGCCCCATTCTCCCGCTTTCCATCACCCCGCCCCATTCTCCCGCTTTCCATCACCCCGCCCCATTCTCCCGCTTTCCATCACCCGCCCCATTCTCCCGCTCTCCATCACCCCGCCCCATTCTCCCGCTTTCCATCACCCCGCCCCATTCTCCCGCTTTCCATCACCCCGCCCCATTCTCCTCCTCCCATCACCCCGCCCCATCTCCCGCTTTCCATCACCCCGCATT